CAGCGCGCAGCTGGAGGAGCAGGAGCACACGCTCGCTGGACACAGTGTGTCACGACACCATCCCAGGCAAAGTGTGAGAAAAGGGTTCGTGCACCTCCGCAACCACTGTCAGAAGCGATGGCAAAGTGGTCGCGGGGAGCCTGCGCGTGCTCCAGATTTGGAGGCAAAGCGTATTTTGTATGTTTTTTTTGGCAGGGGTGGTTGGCCTGCGCGCCGCAAGCAATACCGCGGCTTGGGGGCGCCCCCAGAGGGCTTCCATCGCAGTGGCAACGCAGTCAGTCGCGCGAGGCATGACTTACCTTTCCATGCTCTTGGGCGCCCTCGGGGGCCCTCTTCGGGCCCTCCTGGAGCCCTTGCGAGACTCTCTTGGGGCCTTACAACGCAGCGCTCCCAGAGGGCCTCCACAGCAACGCAAGTTAAGCCACGCGGGAGGGCGCTCGCGTGATTTACCAACGCGGTTTGGGAGGGCTTCTAGAAGGTTCATACAGCAGTGCAAGTTGTGGCACGCAAGAGAGCGCTCGTGTGACGATGAATGACGACGATGGTTATTATGACAGTGATTGCGACGACGATTATGGTAATGACAACGACGATGCTGATGCTGACGTTGATGCTGATGCTGATGCTGATGTTGATGTTTTTGTTGTTTTCTGCGCGGGCACCAACGAGCTCTGAGAGCTGTGTCCTTCCTACCCTTCTGCCACCATCCCTCTGAAAGACCCTTCTCATCAAATTAAGCAGCTGGGCAGGTATCGGGTTGTTCACAGGATCGACTACCGTATCGCGGGCTTTCGGCTACTCGGGAGGGGGAGGGAAGGAGGGAGTATGCATACCGAAAAGGAGACAGTAAGACTGTTTCGCAGATCTCATGCACCCTGTCTCGGGAGGCGGGCGACAACAAGAGGGAGGGTTGACTTCAACATGTGCGCGCTCCTTGCAAGTCAGTGCTGCACACGCAGGATACAATGATGACCCCGAATGATCGAGTGAACGACAGTAATGTGCAGGCGTGCAGTCCGTCTTGCTGAGAGGGAAAGGAGGTTATCTTTGGGCTCCAGCACCGGACGCACGACGAGACGGCGGCGGAGCACCGACGCGATCATCCGCGCGCTAAGCCGATGGAGGAGCAGGCGGTGAGGCCAGTAGGTGAACAGTCTAGCCTTCTTCTCCTACGGAGGGGGCTTTGGGCAGACCGTTTTGCCAATCGCGGGAGGCCGCGATATGCTCAGCTAGCTGTGCATCTGGGTCGGCTGGGTTTCGTGTGGGTGGCGGGGGACTGGGCAGAGGCCCCGGCTGCGCTCAGGTACGCACATTCCGAGCACACCTATCATCATTCACTGGGGCATTGATGCGAGCAGTTGATGTCACACTCTCGCCGTGAACGAGAGAAGTTGAAGCGACTTGGATTCGCTGCGCTCGGACCATTTCCACAGCAAGCCTGATCTTCGAACAAACGGCCGGCTGGAGGGAAACGTAATCACACGCGCCTTCAGCGACGCGGGCAGGGCGGCCACCATTGCTAGCTCGACGCCGTGGGCCTTGGCGCACTCCTGCATGGCCTCGGCCGCCGTGTCCCCGCCATTCTCCCGGCAGGAGCCGGTGCCTAGGCGGCGGAAGTCCTCCACGACGGCGGCGAGTTCGGCCTGCTCCGCGCGCAGCTTTTCCTGGGCTTCCACCACGATCGCCTCCCTCGGCTGCGCCTCGCCGTGCTCCTTGTCGAAGGTGGCCACCAGCGCGTGGTGCGTTTCGCGCGTGGCGCTCTTGTCCTCCACAACTCTGCTGGCGGCCTCCGCCGCCGCCGCAATGTCTTTGCAGAATGCGCTGCCGGCAGCCCGCTCCAGAGCAGGCCGCACGTAAAGAAGCAACGTAGGCGACCATGTCGGCGGAGCGGCAGCAGCTCTGGAGAAACCGAAGCAGGCAAGTTCAGAAGGCCCGTGTGTGGTGGCGGGGCGCGGGGGTGCGCGCTGGCGGGAGCAGCGCCCGATGGATGGGCGTCTGGCACCAGCCCAGCGGCCACGCTATCGCCAGGATAACCCACGGCAGCACCTGCAGGAGGGCGATGAACGCCATCTCGATCAGGTACGGCACGAACAGGCTCGAGGCCAGAACGATCCACACCGACACGAGCAGGCGGCACCTCAAAGGGCGCAGCAGGCTGAAGGGGGGAACCTTTGCAGGTGGGGCCGGCTGCGGTAGCGAGGTCAGCCACGTCGCTCGTGCGAGGCCAGCGGCCGAGCTTGGCCGCGCGACCGAGCCTCCGCGCACTGGCGCGAAGCGTCGGCCTCGGTCGGCTGCAGCGGCGCCGGCCGGAAGCACCTCGCGGCGCGCGGCCGCCCGCGCTCGCCGGGAGGCGCCCGGCGGAGGCGGCGGGCACGGCAGCAGTCCCGCGAGGAGGTGGCCCGGATCAGCACCCTGTGTAATGCAAGCGGCCGTGGACCCAGGGCGGCGGTTGAGGGGAGGGGGTGAGGGGGGGCAGCCAGCTCGATTCTGTCTGTCGTGGACCGTCGGGGTGTTACCATCTGCTCTGTTTTTGGAATTTCGTCGCTTCCTGCTTCCACTCTGTCCCTCTTCCTGGTCCTCCCCCCCTCATCCTGCTGTCACTCTTTCTGTTTTTCCTCCTCCTTCGCTTCCTACCACTCCCTCTCCTCCTCGTGCCCCTCCTCCGTCCCCTTCGTCGTCGTTATCATCCTTCGTTGTCGTTGTCCTTACCCTCGTTCTCGTCGTCGTCGTCGTCGTCGTCGTGGTAGTTGTTGTTGCTGTTGTTGTTGGTGTTGTTGTTGTCGTTGTTGTAGATATTGTTGTTGGTGTTGTCGGTGTTGGTTGTGTTGTTGTTATTGCTGCTGTTTGTTGGTTGTTGTTTCCTGGTTGTTGTTGTGCTTGTTGCGGGTGTCGTTGTTTGTTTTGTTGTTTTGTTGTTGATGTTGTTGTCGTTGCTGTTGTTCGTAGTGTTGTTGTTGTTGGTATCGTTGCTGTTTTTGCTGTTGTTTGTTGTTGTTGCTGTTGCTGTTGCTGTTACTGTTGCTGTTGTTGTTGTTGTTGTTGTTGTTGTTGTTGTCGTTGTCGTTGTCGTTGTCGTTGTCGTTGTCGTTGTCGTTGTTGTTGTTATAGTTGTTCTTGTTCTTGTTGTTGTTGTTGTTGCTGTTGCTGTTGCTGTTACTGTTGCTGTTGTTGTTGTTGTTGTTGTTGTTGTTGTTGAACATTATTACTTCTAAAGAAATATTATTGTTGAGACCCCTGGTGCGCGACCCCCCTCCAAAACCTAGGCCGCAGCCTCATTTCCTTCATTTTCTAGCGAAAGCTTCAGAAAAGTGGATTGTGTCCGGATCCGGTTGTTTTGTTGTAATCCGTTTTCCCTTGCAAAAAACACTATAAAATGAAAATTCTTGTTCTTACTTGATCAAATTGCAAGAATCCCTTGCAAAAAATAAGGTAAAGTGGACATTCGTGCGCGCAAGACGAAATCCTTCCAAAACCTTAGGTTTCGTAACGATTTTAACATAAAAACATCAAAAACCCAATGGTTTTTTTAAGAAAAAATTGTCAAAATGTTCTTCCGCGCGCTCTTGCGGATTCGTAGGAAAACCAACACTTTTTAAACAATTCTGTCAAACGGGCTTTTGCGAGCAACTTTTTCGCTTCTCTCCTTTCCTCCTTGTCCTGCTCCTCCTCCCCCTCTTGCGCCTCGGAGCCGTATTGGAACTGTCGATGGCCATCTCCCTGTCTCCCTCGCATGTCTGCTTGTACATATGTATAATTTCAGAACTAAACGTGCATGTGATCGTTTAGAACATGGTGGACCGTGCGTATGTCACGAACCTTGTGTACTTTCTCTCCCTCCGTCTGGCTGTGCACGCGCGCGTTGGGCAGTGAGAGTTAGGATCACAGCGCCACCAGTGTATGAGCAATGCATGCGTCATCCTTGGGACTGTATAACAGCAGAAACAGACAACATTGCATCGCAGCGGGACAGCCATCGGGACCATCGGGACAACCATCGGGACAACCATTTGGACAAGCATCGGGATAACGATCGGGACAACCATAACCATCAGGACAACCATCGGGGCAACCATCGAGACAACCATCGGGACAACGATACCTTCTCTCTTGTGTCCTCCCACATCCCTCAGGAAGTTGCCCTAAAGATGTGACCGACTCCTCTCTCTCCTTCTCTCTGTCTCTCGCTCTTTCTCTGCTTCATATCTATCATACGTAACACATCTACTTGTGTAATCGCCTTCCCAGGAATTTGCCTCAAAAATGTGACCACCTATCTTGGCACTGCGTACCATCTCACGTGTACCGTGTACCACATCTTCTCAGGTTGCCTCACACATGTGACGAATCTCTTTCTATCTCTCTCTCCACTGGCTCTCTGTCTTGCTCTCTCTCTCTCTCTCTCTGTCTCTCTGTACTATGTATGTCATGCGCAACAAATGCACCATGCGGGGCACATGCGGGGCCCAAACAAGTGATCAACCTCTGCGGGTGTGTACTCCACGCCAGTGTAGTATCCACGATCGTCCGCGCGCCACGAAGTGAAGTGTCCTGACGTCATAGGGCGGGAAGCTGGGTGTGGGTGGTTCCCGAGAGTCGTGTGGATGTTTGGTAGAGCTTGCATTGCCCCCCCACGAAGTGGGGGTATTGGCTGGCGTCGCATGAAAACCCTGGCACTGGGGAGAACACTGAGCGTTCGGGTAAAATGATTGTTGTTGTTGTTGTTGTTGTTGTTGTCGTTGTCGTTGCTGCTGTTGTTGTTGTTGTTGTTGTTGTTGTTGTTGTTGTTGTTTTCGTTGGTGTACTTGATGATATTGTCTGTTGTGGTTGTTGTTGTTGGTGGTTGTGTTGTTGTTGTTGTTCTTATGGTTGTTTGTTGTTGTTGTTGTTGTTGATGTTGTTGTTGTTGTCGTCCTCACCCTCGTCTTTGTCCTCGTCCTCCTCGTTGTCGTTGTGGTGGTCTTCGTCGTCTTCCGCCTCGTCCACGTCGTCGCCCGATCCAGGTTCGAGGGCGACCCCGCCCACTCACGGAAGTGAGCCCACCGCGCGGCGGCCGCCTGCGGCTTCGTGTTTCACCCTGTTCGCCGTGGGCCGCACCCCTCACTGCATCTCGGAGAGCAGCTCTCAGCTCTGGGCGCCTCGAAGAGGGGCACGCCGAGCGTTGTTGCCCCAGCTTGGGCCCCGGGCCCCTCGCAGATCGATCCGTCTCGAGACGTGCCGGGTAAAGATTGGGTCGAGGGCTCTGCGTGTGATATTTTGCAGCGCTGTGAGTGTTCACGACGCGGAATATCGGGGGACGTCGGTGAATCAGAAGAAGAAGAAGAAGAAGAAGAAGAAAAAGAAAAAGAAGAAGACACATGCATGATTCGCGGCGTTCACCACTCGGCGAATGCAGCGTTTGGTACTTCTGCGCGGGACCCGCTGCAACCGCATCCATCTCGGGTGTCTCGGTGCTCGATCCATGCTATCGCGCAACAGGCAATCATAAACACAGCAGGGCGATTCAGATCGAGACACGCGCGAAGGAGGCTCGAATCGAAGCGCACAGAGCAGTGATACAATAATATCGGTGTCGTGTGCGGACCCCTAAGACCTTTCAGACGGCCCAATCGGATCAGCTCGCCGTCGTCATAACCATCGTCAGCATCAGTATCGGCCTCGTCGTTCCGCCCTCCCGCCACACAGCAGTTTGTCCCTCTGTCCCGCTCACCTTGAGACCCGACGTAGCGAATGTGTTTTGGATCGAGTCTCAAGCGGCAGGAGGCTACGCGTTGCGCCCCTTGGGGCTCTTCGGGCCAAATTGCCCACGGTGCGGCATCGAACGAGCATCGTCCACGATGTCACCGTGAAAAATCACGGCCGGAGCCCCAGACCCATCCTTCCGTGCCTATTTTTCCAGACAGATCTATTTGTGAGAAAGAGCGCGTCTGGTCGCTTGCAGGGGGGGGGACCCCCCCCCTCCCCTCCCTGGATGGAGGGGGGGGGCTCGAACCTCCCCCCCATCCCCTCCAGTGACGGAGGGGGGGGGGTTCGAACCCCCCGCCCCCCCTTCTCCTCCCCGTGGCGGAGGGGAAGGGGGGGGTTCGAACCCCCCCACCTACTTCTCACGATTTTCTTTTTCTGGGCCAGCGCCGGCGCCTGCGGCGGCGGGCGGCGGCGGCGGGGAGCGTCGACGAGGACGACGGTGGTGGTGGTGGTGGTGGCGGTGATGGGTTGTGATGGTGGTGGTGCGGTGGTGGTGGTTGTGGTGGTGGTGATGTGGTGGTATGTTGTGGTGGTGGTGGTTGTGCTGGTGGGTGTTGGTGGTGGTGGTGGTGGTGGTTTGTGCTGGTGGTGTGGTAGATTGTGGTGGTGGTGGCGGTGGTGGGTTGTGGTGGTGGTGGTGGTGTGGTGGTGGTTTGTGGTGGTTTGTGGTGGTGGTGGTGGTGGTGATGGGTTGTGGTTGTGGCGGTGGTTTGTGGAGATGGTGCCGGTGGTGGTTGTGGTTGTGGCGGTGTTGGTGGTGGTGGTGGTGTGGTGGTTTGTGGTGTTGGTGGTGGGTTATGCTGCTGGTAGTGGTGGTGGTTGTGGCGGTGGTGGTGGTGGTGGTGTGGTAGATTGTGGTTGTGGTGGTAGTGGTGGTGGGTTTTTGTGGTGTGGTGGTGATGGTGCGGTGAGTTGTGGTGGTGGTGGCTGTGGTGGTGGTGGTGGTGTGGTGTGTGGTGGTGGGTGGTGGTTGTGTGGTGGGTTGGTGGTGGTGGTGGCGGGTTGAGGCGGTGGTAGTTGGTGGTGGTGGTGGTAGTCATGGTAGTGGTGGTAATCGCCGGCGCCAGCGCCGGCGCGGGGGGGCGGGTTTGAACCCCCCCCCTTGGGCTGCCTCTGGTCATCGTCGCTGCGTCCCCGCCGTCGGCGCGGCAGCCGCCAGCGCCGGCGCCGAGGGGGGGGGGGGATTTGAACCCCCCCCCTTTGGTCGGGGGGGGGGGTTCAGGGGGGGGGGGGGATCTGGGGGTGAGGGGACCCCCCCTGGTTTTGATCGACGGCGCCGAGTGTTTGGGGGAGGGGGCCCCGCCCGGTTCGAAACGCGCCGCCGAATGTTCTCAAGGCAAGCGCCCGTGAGACGTGCTCTCTCATATGTGAGGATCCCTTGGCCCGGAACGGGGCGACAACTCCCACCTCGAAGAAATTTGAGGCGCCAGGATCTCAGGGCAGTTTGCAGGCACATTGCTGCACGTAGATGTCCGCGATCAGCATCCGGCATGTCCTGACAGCTCGGGGAAAAGTCTCGTCCAGAGGTGCCTTCCTCTCTCTGCTGGCCGCGCTCGCTCAGGTCCTCGTGCTCGCGGCCGTGTCACACCTACAAACAAGACGTTTGTTTTGTGGGGAGGTTGCAGCACTTGTGGCGGAAGGCATCGGTTACGTTGCGCGGCAGGTCAACAGTCAACGTGATCATTGGAAGGCACCGTGCAAGATGATAGCGGTGGTTCAGGCGCAGTTGAATCACATGCATTTGAGTACAGGAAGGCTTGTGAGGATGCAGACCAGCTCTGATTAAGGGACGAGTGAATTTGCAAGGGTGCCCTTGCATCTCAGTGTGAGTGCCACAGCAACTCCTTCAACAGGGACTTTACATCGTCTTGCATCGTTGCCCTGTAACCTGAATTAGAATTCGACGTTTTCATGGTCCAGCACTTCAGCGCGAGCCGCTTCAACACACCTTGGACATGATCCAGTAAAGGAAAGATATTTGTTATGATAGGCTTGGGGTGCTTGGGTGCGGAGCTCACCCTCTGGAGGAAGCGGCGGAGGAGGGTCGTGCCCCGCAGAACCCCCCCGAACCCTAACAGCCAATCAGGTCCAGAATGATTCAGATATACACCTCCTTATTCTTCTCGATCCTTCTCATTTGCAGGTCGTTTTGGGAGATCCCAGACACTAGTCGGCTTGATTTTTTCGAGTCGCTGGTCCCTGGACCGCCGGACCCCTTCCCCGACGCCAGTTTTACGTCCTGAGTTGTCATTTGGCTGTCCCCGGGTCCGAAATCGGTTTCTGCGGCCGACAATGGGAAGGACAGCAGTACGGATGGTGTCGAGCAGCCGAATCTCTCGGGCTCTGGGGAGTTCCAGAGGAGGGGGGTACCTTGGGTTGCTACGGGGGATCTTGATTCACCTCTTGCGCTTGGCCTTTTACTGCTTTTAATTGTTCTTCAGTTGCCGTTAATTGTTTGTTTCATCGCCTTGCCGCGCTGGTGGGAGCAGTGGGACCGCCCCTCGTACGCAGGCTGGGAAGGTGACGGTGGTTGACTACTACGCCCCGTGGTGCAGGCCTGCCTCCTCTCCCTCGCCGTTCCGTCCATCCTCCTCCTCCATACTCCATCCTCCTCCCCTTCCTCCCTTCTCCTCCGCTTCCTCCTTCTCCTCGCTTCCTCTTCCCTTCCTTAGCTTCCACCCTCCTCCCCGCTCCCTCCCTCCTCCTTTCTTCCATTCCTCCTCCCCATCCTCATCCTTCTCCTCATCCTTCTTCCTTCTCCACCTCCTCGTTTTTGGCTTCGTCTATCCTCTCTGCTCTCTCCTCCCTCCTGCCTCCTCGTTTCCTCATCCCTTTCCTCCCTTTTACAATTTCTTAATATGAACACGACTCTCCTCTCTCACCTGACCCTGTCCTGAAGATGTCCCGCCCTCTTTCCGCGTATTGCTTTTTGCACAGGGTTGGGCAAAGGTGATCTCTCTTAATCTTTTTGTCCATCCGATTGTCTTCGGTGTTTCGCAATGGTGCTCCCGCTTCAGCGCGGGCCTCATTTTCTCATCGGCGCGTTGCTCCCGTCGTTCGGAACGGCGCTCTCGCCCCAGTGCGGGCCACTTTTCTGGATTCCTTTTTCGTCGTCGTCGCCCACCTCATTTTCCTTCCTTCGCCTTCCCCTGGTCCTCCTGACCCTCCCGCTCCTTCCACTCCAGCTGCTGCTGCTGTTTGTCCTCGTCCTCCTCATTCCTATCATTCTCCTTCTCCTCCTGCTTATCCTGCTCATCTTCCGGCTCAGCCGCCGCTTCCTCCTCCAATGTGGGCAGCTCGTTTCTGATTGCGCGTAGCACGATAGGGGTCCCCTTTTGGAGTTGCAGGTCCCCCGTGACACGCGTCGGCGGATGGAGCAACGCAGGCGCAGTGGGTGGGATGTGTCGGATTGGTATGGTGTCAGATGTGGCGAGGGCGCACCTAGCTTGACTCCTCCACTCTCCGCTCTCCTCCGCCTACAGTCAACCATGATAGTAAGGAGTAAGGATGGGGCAACTTTCCAAGGCTACCCTTGCATCCTTGCCCCTTCGGTATTCGGCATCCTTCGGCATTCTGCTGCGCTCCGCACGGAAAACGTCAACATGGCGTTTCAAGGCCCTTGCATCCCTACCGCGCATCCTTACTATCCTGGTCGAGCGTACTGCTGCTACCCTCCTTCCCCAGGCGACCCAAGCAGTCACCCTCCTCTCGTTGTGCGAATTTGGACGCTGCTTGAGGTTGTACGTGCGCGTTGTGAGCGTCGAGTCTTGCGCGAGTGATCTTTTCTGGACTGCTTGTGTGTGCTCTGTTTGCGTATGGCGTGCCTGCTGTGAATTTGCTGCGTTCCGTGGCGCAGGGCTTGTCAGAAGCTGCTGAAGGGCATGCAGAAGATGGCCTCCGACGCTGAGTTCAGCTGATGGGCTAATCTTCCACTACCACTACCATAAGTAGGACGGGGGAGAAGGGAGGATGGGAAGGTCCTCCTCCTCTTTCTCCTTCTCCTCCTCCTGCCTTTCCCACCTATGGTAGTGGTGGTGCAAAATCGGCCCATCATCAGCGGCGTGAATTTTGCTTCTGTGGACTTCGAGCAGGCCAGGGAGCTCTGCAGGACGAAGCGCGTGGAGAAGCTCCCCACGCTGGAGATCTACCGCGGGAGCGAGCGCACGCAGAGGTGGGCGGGCGCGAACAAGAAGAGGCTGCTCGAGCGGCTGACCAGCGAGATGGAGATGATGGAGAAGGAGCAGATGATGACCGCTACGCAGGCAGGGCTCGTTTCGATTCCTCCGATTCGATGCGATTTCGATTTCGATGGATTCCGATTCCGTTTCGATTCGACTTGGTTGGAATTCCGATTTGGGTTCCGATTTCTCACAGGACGCATACAAGCCTATACAAGCCTGCCGATTTCCGCCGATTCGTTTTTTTTTTTTTTTTTTTTTTCTTTTTTGTTTTCCGACTCGGCTGCCGCTTTCCGCCGATCCGATTCATGTCGATCGCCGATCCGACTTCTCGATTCGATTCTGGGCTCTCCTGCGCAGGCGTGATTCGGTCCTCTTAGCTGGCTCGCGGCGTAGATAGCATTGCGCCGCACCTGCAAATCCTTGCAAGTCAGTGGTCCGCTCTGGCAGGGAAGGTGCACATCCGCAGAGTCAGCACGTGCAGATAAAAAAAGATGGAGCAGGAGGGGAGGATGGCGTGATGAAGGGGGAGGACCCCCGACTCAGTCTTCTTCTCTGGAACCGCCTGTGGCAGACAGAAAGAGGTTCCGAGCTGAGAGCGTTAGCTGTGCACCTTATTTGCACCGACGCTTGCCTGCCCTTTCCTGTGCCACGGACCCGTCTGTATGCCTTCCTGGCGGGGCCAGGGATGCGGATTACCGGTCCTGGCCCAGTATGGGCCCTGCCAGAATCGGCGCGGGTGCATGCTCCACGCTGCACAGGAAACGGACCCCCATATCGGCGGCGCGCCTAGGGAAGGGGAAGACAGGACGGGCGGGCCTGCTCAGGAAGGCTCAGGAGGCCCCTGGCTTTCCGAGAAGCTGTCCGAGCCTTCTCCGGTGCCGCCTCCTCCTCCTCCTCCTCCACCTCCTCCTCCTCCTCCTCCTCCTCCACGTCCTCCTCTTTTTCCTCGGGCTTCTCAGAAGGCCGGAGGGCTTCCGAGAAGCCCCTCCGCCGTCCGAGAAGGCCTGCCCCCCCCCTCGCTTCCCCGCCAGGGGCGCGCCGCCGGCCGGTAATACCATCCCGCCCTGGCGGCGTGCTCCAGGCCCCCGCGCGCGCCTGAATCCACCACTCATCGGGAGGGAAAAAAACACACAGACACAACTAATCGTCGATCCCCCAGGAAATACGGGAAAATGTGGGAACTGGGGGGGGAAGACAAAAACCCAGAAAATATGGGAAGACATGGGGAATTCTGCTATTTGTGTGTATTTATTTGTGTGTCCCAGGGCCCTGTTCAACTCAGGCGCACCGCGGCCCCCTTGCGAAGTGTGGCCCGCCCATCCCGCCCCCCTCACGCGAGGATCCGCCTCGCGCCAATCGAGCCATCCGGAGCAGGTGGCGCCCTCCTTTGCTCCAGACCTCCCGCGGCCCGGCTGGCTCAAGGCATGGGGGCCCCCCTCGGACCTGTCGACCCCCTTCCCTCGGGCCAACTTTTAAGTCGGGCCTGTCCCTCTACAGGAGGAATATTGAAAAATAGTAAAACAAATAGTTCGGGGACTATGTTTTGACTATTTTTGATATTAGTTCTTTGAGCATTTTTTAGGGTATTTTTATCTTTTCGCCCGAAGCCCCCCTGTAGGGGGACAGGCCCGACGTAAGCCAACTTCTCATCCCGAGTTCTCTCTTTCTCACAGCCCCAGGGGCCCAGGGCCGGACCCCAGGAGGCCCGGCGTGGAGGAGCGCTGCCCGGCCGCCCCGTCTCCTTCGAGCCGCTGCCTGTCCGGGCCTTTTGTGAGAAGCGGACCTGCGCTTCCGGGCCGCCCGGACTCTGGGCGGCCTGGAAGCGCAGGTCCGCTTCTCCGAGCTGGGGCGGCCTGGAAGCGCATGGGCGAAGCCATGCTGCTCCGAGCAACTCTGGGCCAGAGTGGCTCGGAGCAGCATGGGTGTCGGGGCAGTGCGCCGCCTTGCTCCGTCCAGAAGCCGCCGATGTGTCGGCGATGCGGCGCAGCAGGGACCCACGCCAAGAAACACCCTGCTTGCCTCCAGGGTGCACCCTGAGTTTCGCGGGTCGCGACGGTTTGGCCATGGAGAGCGTGACGCTCCCACACCAAAGATCTGTGGGCGTCTTGGGACCCCAGGGCTGGGCTTCTTGTGGAAGGTTTCCTGTGGACTGGCCTCCACTGTACGAACATCCGACCCCGTCGGCTCCCGCCCGACTTGGGGTGCCTCGACCTCGGAGGACGCAAAAGCTGCACACCTCGATCGGCCCTGGCCGGGCCCCTCCTGGGCAAGAGGCGGCGGACCTGCCTCGATCCTGGGCCCACGGTGGGCCCGGCCGGGATCGGCGAGGCTGTCTCTTCGGCTGCAGTGGGGACCCATGCCAAGGAGCACCCTGCTTGCCTCCAGGGTGCCCTGGGTGTCTTGGG